TAAACTGGCCTTTGCTAAAAACGTCCTCAATCTGATTGAGGGACGTTCGCTGCAACTCTCCCATCCACACTCGTCTTGTATACTTGTTTCGTCTATCTCCTTTCGTTCATCCTCTCTATAAGTCCAAACCATCTCAACATACCTTTCTCAATCCTTGACACTACATCTTCTTTCACTCCACAACGTTCCCTGTACGTGCGCGCCTGCACGTGGTATTTTGTGGAAGAGCCACACTCAAGGGGCCAAAGAGCCGCATGTGGCTCGCAAGCCGCGGTTTGTCTACCAACTGTCCCAGGGTGTCCGAGCAAACTGTCTGATGCAAAGGAAACGCTCCTATCAGCGCAGTCCAACCGAATAGCCACTGGCCGTGTGTGACCACTGATCACTTGAAATGTGACTAGTGTGATCGAGGGACTGAGTATGTGATCTTATTGAATTTTAATTAATCTATATATATAAAAGCCTAGGTGACCATTTGACGGGTAACTATAACACGCACCGACCACCAGGGGGTAGACACTCTGACCGGTAGGTTAGCTTGCTGCTGGGGTCCAGCCAATCGGGACTGGGCTAGATGGTCCCTCCCTGGCCCCGATTGTGCATTGGTGGAGTCCCTTGGCCTGGCCTGCGCCCTGTCACAACCTGGGATTCCTTGGAGGGATCCCACCGGTGCACGAATCAGTGCGTCGGGCCTCTAGTTTAAATATAAATAGCCATAGGTGGTTAGAGGCTGCCTACTGGATATTGCAGTTCAAGGTAACAAAAAGACCCTGAATGGGTTGCTGGCTGTTTCGTGGTTGCAGGGCTCGAGCCTGCGTGGGAGGCATGCAGGAGGCAGCCGAGGGATGTTTCTCTCTCTTAAAAAAGTCCATAAAAACATAAAATAAAATAAAAAGATCCTGAATAATTTGTCATCAGAAGGTTATGCCAATTTCCTCATGAGCCACACATTACCGGGGTTGGCAAAAGTAGGTTAACAGTTGTTCATGTGGAAAACAGTACAATAATTAATAAGTAATAATACAAGAATTAACTCAGTGCTTTTCATACTCATGACTGTACACCTACTTTTGCCAACGCTGTATTTTTCCTCAATAAATAGAAAGCTGGGGAAAAAATGACAATTAGGGAAATAAGTGGATGATTGGTAAAGAGCTTCATACTCAATTCCCTCAATCAATTACTAGCTGTTCGTCATCGTGGGAAAGTCACTTGGAGACTTCAATTTCCTTATCGGTAAATGGGAATGTTACTTAACCCTCCACTCACCACATTGCACAAGATTATTGTCAGGATCGAATGAGAAAATAAGTGCAAATATTCT